TATAATGACAAACTATAGTGTTTCTGAGCCAGAAAGTCAGGGAGGAAATGGGGGGGGGGGCTGTAAGGACACTTTGACTGTTGACAGTTGAATTGAGCTATTAAATTACGCTGTCACTTCTTATCCTTTGGGCTGCTCATCTTGGATGTATCTCCCAAATTAAAAAGTCACGTTTTGCCTTGGAGAATGAGAACTTATAATTTTTCCTGATCTCTGTAACTGAGAAATAGTTGTTAAACTCCCAGTTTCCATCAAATCAACCGTTTTGCAATGTGTTGAAGGAAAAATGTTTCCTTAGCTATCTGCTGAATAAGATTCCCAGTGGCAATGGTTCTATTACAGAAAGACCTGGAGGTCAGCAGAAGTCATCTCTAAACATAACATAACTGGGTTATCAGATCTGAAAAAATAGTTGCCGTCTCTGCCATCTGAACTAGGGAAAGAGGAAAGATCCTAAGACTGTTACATCCAGAGTCTAAAATTACCCAACCACAGGACCACTCGGTTCTTGAGCACAGGGCACCATTGCCTTGCATATCTCCTTACTCTAGATATGGGATGGGCAACATGAGCCCTGAAAGCTGTGTGTGGCTCTCCGATTCACCCTAATTTAAAAAATAAAGTAATTTTTTATGGCCACTGCAGGGCACAGAGAGGATTTTCCACCAAAAAAACACATTTATTTTGGTAGAAAATAAATCCAGATGATGATGTCATGAGGGTGGGTGAGACCTTCAAAGATCTAGGGGCAGTTGTGTATGGTGCTGTAAACTCTGGAGGTTGCCCTCCCCTGTTCAAGCTTGTGATTAGCAAAAATAACATGGGGCTAGACCCAGCTGGTAGTCCTGGTTTGAGTAGACCAGTTGAATCAAAGGGGATTTAAATAAGTCTTGACTGAATAAGATCTCTTGGATCTCTTATTAAATATATATTATTAAAGATCTCTTTAATAAGATCTCACTGGGGCAACTCTAGCTAGTATTAACTATTAGATTTGGTCCCTGAATTATGCAGCCCAGTAAAAGTGGTGGAACAGATTGTGCAAATTGAATAAATTTCAATTTATTATGATTTAGTTAGGTTGGAGGCCTCGGTTTTTTTCTTGGTGAAAGTCAACAAATTGACTAATTATATAAATGTTGTTGGGACAACTTTGACAGACACAAAACATAGATATTGCTTTTACTAGTTTTACTACTTCTCATTTCCAGTAAACATGCTCAAGACATAATATTACTGTACCATTGTCTCTTTCTCCTTACAACCCCGCCCATAATTCCGTACATTAATAATTCACATTGCAGCCCTGATTGCCACATTCCTGTGCTCACTTCTTTTCCTTATCAGGTGGATAAGGAAAAGAACTCCAGTATCTATTCTTACACACAGAGAATTTGAGCATTGACGATAATGCAGAAGATTCAGGATTTATTAGATTTATATCCAAGAATATTTCATGTTAAAGAATGGATGGATGGATAAAAAAGAACCTGACCTGTCAGGTTTCAGGGAGTTTTTTAAATAAGCTGATGAAAATTGAGTTGCAGCAATATATTTAAGTGATCAGAGATGTAGGAAAATATGCACTATATTTATATCTATGTTATATTTTTGATTGTGTTGTTCAGTTGCTGTTGCTACTGGGGGGTTTCCTTTTTGGGGTTGCCTTTTGGATTATTTTTCGATAAGTGGGTTTTTTTGTGTGTGTTTTGTGTTTTATGTGTATGTATGTAAGCCATGTAGAATAATCACTTGCCACTAGAAAGACTGTATAAAAATCCAATTAATTAATTACCAGTATCTTTTTACTGTTTGCTTCTGTGCTACTCTGATACCATATTCATGAGCAGAAGACACTAAGGTTGGAAAATACTGGGTTACATAGGGAAAAGTAACATTGGCCCCAGATAATTTGCTGCCTGAGATGCAGTAGGTAAGGATGTCTCTTCCAGGCCAAGATGTATAGCACGCAAAGCCAGCCATGTTATTTTTTCACAAGAAGCAGAAAAACCCTAAGGCACCTCTCCCTTCTCTCAAACAGTAAAAATATGGTTGTTGTGGGTTTTCCGGGCTGTTTGGCCGTGTTTTTAGGTTTTTCTTCCTAATGTTTCGCCAGTGTCTGTGGCCGGCATCTTGAGAGGACAGGAGTCAGAACTCTGTTGAAAGCACAGACAGAGTAAAAGTAAAAATATGCTAAAAGTGATTAACATGTTTTGATGATGACCAATAATCATTAAAAGAAAAAAACCCATTTAAAACATCAACAACAAAAACCTAATCGTATAGCAATTTCCTTGTTAAGCAAGGCAATTGTTAAGTGAGGCACGACTGTATTGTAGTGCATGTCTCTGGAGTCCTTTCCCCAAGAAGAATCTTCTTATATAAAATAAAAAATCATCCTGAAATTTGATCCAAAACAATTATCCAGCCTTCTAGCTGATGTCTAAAATTGTTTGGGATTACAGCTCCTGCCATCCTCTGCCACTATGGCTGTTGACCAGAAGATGCTGAAACATAGTCCAAAATCTTCTGGTGGGCACCAGTTTGGAAAAAGATTGTGAAATTGGTTGGTTCTTTGGATCGACTAGAGGTTGATACTGGAGCAGTGTGATTGACTTTTCTGATGCTGGGTGGTTATTGAGAACAAAAGCAGAACCTTTGGTATTTACTCCCTTTTTAGACTGATTGAGCAATTCATATTGATGGATGCAGTGAAAATAGTAACAGACTGCAGTTTAACCACTTCTGGAAAGCATATGATGAAGCGTCATGATGTCAAATTGAGATAGACGGGTGCCTTTCCTGTTGGTTTCCAGCTGTCTGGAAATTCTCCACATATTTGCAAATGTGGTTTGTTGTCATGTTGGTGCACAGGCTGCTTTGTCAGCTGCAGTAAATACTGTAGATCCTCCTCCCTCAAAACAACACAGTAGCCTGATGAAAGATTCCTGTGTGCCTTGAAACTGAGTCACCTCCCTTTTTGTTTTTTTCAGACAAGGTTTCTATTTTGGAATAGGCTTTTGATGTATGTTCTTTTCCTGATGCCTGGACAAGACTCTGTGTCTCTAGAGGTGTCTGAGAGCATAGGCACTTTTTATTATTGAAAAGTGGTGGTACTTTGTGATAGATGTTAGAGGGTACTCATATTTGTCCAGACCCCCCCCAAAGTACAGAAAACATCATATATAGAGAAATACCATATTTTTTCCGTGTATAAAATGACACTTTTTCCTTAAATAATTTGAGAAAAAAATTGAGGGTCGTCTTATACATGGAAGGCAGCTCTTTACCACTGCCTTTTTTGAAGGGACTGGGCTTAGCAAAAAGAGAGCCCTTTGATTTCCTGGCTTTTTCTAATTTGGGGTTAGAAAGGGGGGAGGTCATCTTATACTTTGGGTCGTCTTATAAACGGAAAAATGCTGTATATGTAATGCATGTGCTAGGCCGCAGAGCTCCATAAACATCTTCCCTAGTATTCATTTTGTGTGACATTGAGCTGGTAATGACGTGGAATATGGGAGGTGTGTTAGAGGTGGATAATAGGAAGGACAGAAGAACAAGTTCGGGTGGAGGTGTGTTAGAGGTGGATAATAGGAAGAAGAACAAGTTCGGGAGGCAGGTTTTCATCTGCTTCCAGATGCAAGCTTCATGATGCAGATGAGTGATTTCCTTCAGCTTATCCCAGCAATTGTGACACTAAACCGCAGCAGAAAGTGGTACCCACTGGCATCATGATACTTATCCTGTGACTGTTCCCAGAGTAGCTACTAAAACATTAGTAGAGGAGGAGGAGGGGACGACACAGATCTGCATAAAATGCGGTTGTGTATATAGATTAATTGAAATGTAAAAATAATTGTTTTAAATACATTTTTTCCATACTGAGGGTGACGGAGACTCAGTGAGATGCTCAATCTGCTGTTGTCCAGGTGCCTAAAGGTAACTCTGCCATTCCAAGGGTTCCACTCTCCCTTTTACAGTACTTATGGTTCTTTGTCTTTAAGTGGAACTAGGATTGGGCAGTTCTTCAAACAGAGTGCCTAAAGGTAACTCTGCCATTCCAAGGCTTCCACTCTCCCTTTTACTTATGGTTCTTTGTCTTTAAGTTGAACTAGGATTGGGCAGTTCTTCAAACAGTGGACTGTCCTCTGTAAAGTAAAGCTCATGGCCATTCCATGTTGATCTTCCTTATTCGTTTGTTTTAGGCTTTCAGCATGCTCCCACAATGAGTTGGGAAGAGTGAATGGGAGTCAGAAATGACAGAAAGAGTGACTGTCATTCACAAAAAATGACTACTGAAGTTTCCCACATTAGCCCTATTCAGTTGCCAAGCATCCCTCTCCCCCAATTGGTTCAGTTCTCCCTTTTACCAGTCCTCCTCATTCTGCAAAAGAAAGACACACCTTCACTGTTCTGTCCAGCTATGTTCAAACAGGCAAGGATGTCTTGAGCATGTGGAGCTGCTTCAAGCTGTCAGACCATCTAAAGTACTTTTGTGTAGCTGCCAAGAGCAGCATGTTTTCAATCAATCCTTTTTTTTTTTTTTTGGACTGTAACTCCCAAGACTTCCCACCCATCAAGGCCAGGTGGATTCTGAGAGTTGTCCAAAAAGTCTCTTTTCCAAGCCCTAACACCACTGAAATGCAAGTTTTCCATCTCCCATTTCTTTTCTTATCTCCAACCAGTTAATTTCCCATTTGTCATGTTTATAAATTAACTAGATAAAACAAGTTGTATCATGTCTTCCTTCTTTTTTTAATATTCTCAGGAAGCAGTATCTCTGTGTAATGATTAGTCTTGTTAATGAATATTTGAGAAATTGCCTGACTGCCCACTGCATCGGGAAATGGAGGCATTATGGACAAAGTGAAGATTAATAACATTTGTCTTGGGCAAAGAAATACATGATTGTGGAAGAAAATATTGAGCCAGAGGGATGTGCATAAATATACTTTGAAATTTTTTGGATTCATTCTGATTTAATCCTTTTGTCTTCACAGAAGGACCCAGACTACTTGAAGCTCTGGTTGGATAGTTTCGTTTCTAGTTATGAACAGTTTCTGGATGTGGATTTTGAGAAACTTCCCACTCGGTATGTAAGAATAGAACTGCTTTTATGTGAATACATAATAATAATATGATTGACGCAAGAGTATGTTTGTGGGTTGTGTTTGTATGTGCAATGCTCCTGTCTACCTGTCTGTAGGTATGTATCTAATAATAATAATAATAATAATAATATGACTGATGCAAGAGTATGTTTGTGGATTGTGTTTGTACGTGCAATGCTCCTGTCTGCACAGGTATGCATCACCCTGTTTTCCCGAAAATAAGACCTAACCTTAAAATACGCCCTAGTTTGATTTTTCAGGATGCTCATAATATAAGCCCTACCTCCAAAATAAGCCACAATTAAGTGAGACCCGGCCCCCTACCATTGTGCAGCAACCAGAAGATGATGACATTGTTTTCATGTACAACAATCTACATTTAGATTGTTGTACATGAAAAAAAATCCCCTGAAAATAAGCCCTAATGTGGGGTTTTTTAGCAATAATTAATATTGTCTTATTTTGGGGGAACACGGTATCTATATGGGAGTTTTCTGTATGCTACGTGATCTGCAGATATTGTGCACAACAGAAGTGTAACTTAAAGTTAGTGATTCTGCATGCTTTGTACTTGACACCATGGACGAAATCCAGGGGTGGGCAATTAATTTCTATAGGGGGGCCACATGAAAAATCTGAACTGTGTTCGGGGGCCAAACCAATTTTACTTAAAAATAAAATGAAACAGTGATGTTATGATTGTTTTTATTTTAAACTTGTTAATCTTACAAATACTAAAGAGGTTAAAGATAAGCAACTGATCAACTTTAGACAAAAAGCTACAAATGGTTTTGATGTTCGAAACTGTCTGCGGGCCGGACAGGAGTGGTTCGCGGGCCATATGTGGCCCTCGGGCCGCACTTTGCCCAGGTCTGACTAAATCCAATGTTAGTGCTACATTAAAATCAAGGGGATTAAGTTAGTTTTAAATACCAAATCCTCAGATTTTCTGCTGTTTCCATTCTCATTCTGCTGGTTAATATTCTGCTTCAAAACCACAATGACAGAGTTATAACTATGTTGCCTACTTTCATAGAGACTGCACTTTCTGGGGGGTGGGAAAGGAAACTGCAGAACCTCTGCAGAAACGCCCGCACAAAGTTTGGTTGCTCAAATGGACAAGCAAGCATAAAAGCTGCGATACAGGTTTACCTAGAACCTAATAGGGTGAAAGGGCACTCACAAGATCTACCAAAATACCCATTTTTTCTTTACTTTTCAGCCAGATGGGTAGGTAGGCAGGATCGCAGCCTTTGGAGCACCAGCCCTCCCTGACTGCCTGACATTGTGTAGTGCATGCTGCGTTAGCTGGGCTCTCTAAATGTACACTCTCCTTTCATCTAATCTTTGCTGCTCTTCCCAAATTTGAAAGCAAAGGTCATGCTATTTTGATATACAGTGGTACCACGCAGGACAATTACCCCTCAAAACGACAAATCCGCATGACGACGATGTTTTGCTACCGCCAATTTGCTTCTGCCATTTTGCTTCGCAAAACAATGATTTCTGTGGGGAAATTCTGCTGAATGACGATTTGGTCCGTGCTTCGCGGACTGTTTATTCTCAAGACGATGATTTAAAACAGCTGATCGGTGGCTTGATCTTCGCAAAACGTGTGTTTTTCGCAAGACAGCGATTAAAAACAGCTGATTTGTGCTTGCAAAATGACTGCCCTATGGGCGATCTTTGCAAAACGACAAGGTATTTTACTCATTAGAACGCATTAAACAGACTTCAGTGCATTCCAATGGGGAAATGGTTTTTGCATGACGATGATTTCGCTAAACAGTGATTTTCATGGAACGGATTATCATCGTCATGTGGGGCACCACCGAGTCCTATGTATTCAAGGCCCCTTTTTAGTGGGCCATCAGGAGGGGTGGGGGGGCTGAGTTCTTGCTTCTCTGAAGGGCTGCCCTTCAGTGATACACTTTGCACCTTGCAAACATAATACCGGATGAATTCTTGACCTGTTCTCAGGTCTTTTTGGCTCAGACGCTGCCAGCATCTGTTAGGCTAAATGAACTGGGAACCAGCAGTTTACCCAAGGTAAACATGCAATGTGTATTAACCTTGTTACTTGGTCAAGATTTTTTAAAGTTCTAAATTGTTGCAGACTGGTATTTCTTGATTATCCTGGCTTAACATTCCGTTAAAACTGGGCTTTGAACTGTTAAGTTGCAGGGCTAAATAAACATTCTTGTTTGCTCTGAACCAGGAAATAACCTCAGTATGTGCTCCTTGAAGGTGCTTGTTGGAGCTGAGTGGCAGCAACTCTGTAACAGCAGCAGAACCATCAGGGCAGGACTTTGGAGCAGCTGTCCAGGCCCAAGGATAAGATGATGGGCTTGAGTATCCAACACCAGGGGAGCTAAGATTTTCTCCCCACCCTTTGCAGCCTTTGATGGGACCAAAGAAAACTGACCCAGAGGGGCTTTTTAGCCCTCTGGAGCAGGTTTTAAGGGTAGGCAAAGGTTCCTGGACAGGATGTTGCATCAGTTGTGGTGGAATCAGTGAGATTCAGTGGAACTTGCTCTAAGGCATCACACGCTAGAGTGAGCTAGCAGTGGTTCTCAAACTGGGGTCCCCAGACGTCCTTGGATTGCAGCTCTCAAAAATCCTGGTCAGCACAGCAAGTGGTGGAGGCTTCTGGGAATTGCAGTCCAAGAACATCTGGGGACCCCAGTTTGAGAACCACTGAGCTAGAGGTCTTCAAATATTGTAGTGTCAAAGAAGGAATATGGATATTTGTCTCTGTAAAACCATTTGACCCAGAATTAAAATGTATAAGTGCTTTGCTGAATTAAAAAAAAAGAGAAGTGTTTCCTTTTTTGCAGGGGGGGGAATAATAGATCTCATGCCGGCTGTGACATTATGGTGGCCGGAGTAGGAAAAAAGTGTTTCCAATTTATCCCACTGTTTAGGGTTGTAGCCTTAGTTCATTTCTAATACTGGTGATTGGTTTACTTTTTTTATAGCACCGCCAACAAAAACAGGATAGCAGGCAAATGCCTGGAACGTGTTTGCTTGGCCGAGAGGGAACCAAACTACTTGGCTAGCCATACCCTGGTGGTTGTTGGGCTGCCTTTGGCCTCTTCGGTCACATAGTTGTGTTGGTGCATGGAAGGGTTAATTTTTAGTCTGTTTTTCAGAATAAGAAACATCATAGGAATCTGTCAAGTTAAATGTGGATGTTTCCTGTGTTCTCAGTATCTTTTAGATTAAAGTATTATTGTTTTTATATCTCTGGGCTAACAGTATTTTTGGATAACAGTCACCATGGCAAAAGATTAAGCATGAGTGGGATCAGGGGGGAGGCAACGCCACAGACTGGAGCTCTGCACGAGCAGCACCTTCCCTGCCGTTGTGTAGCAATGTTTTGGAGTTCTTGGTATGAAATCCAGTGTTTTGCTCTGCGATTAATGGCAGGATTAAAGTTTCGACCTAAAAAAACATCATGTAAGGCCTGTCCTTGCATTGTAGCAGATGTGCAAGGGAAAACATCTGGGCAGCTAAAGGCAACAGAAGGTTGCTATTGTGTTCTTGTACAGCTGGCATCGGATAGTTTCTGTCTATATTTGTTGGGCATGTGTATTTTTTGTTAGAAGATTGCCATTTTTTTGCTCTTCATAAAGGCTTGTCTCATACAATGGATAATGACTTTCAGGATAGATCACCAGATGCAGTACTTCTTGTCTTATATCTTTATAACACAAAGAGATTTGAACACGGGGAGGGAGGGATAGTAGTGGCTTTACATTTGTGTCTTTTATAGCCTGTTACTCACACGGCTCCCTCACTGGGTACTTTCAAAAAACAATTAAAAACGTTGATGTTTAGGCAGGCGTTCCCTCCAGTTAATTCCTGATTCTCTCCCCTCCTTTCTCTATTGCGATTTATTTTTGTATGTTCTACATCTTGTAGAATTGTCTAATTGTGTAATAATTCTTTTTTTATATTTATTCACGTATTTTGTGTTGTAAGCCGCCTAGAGTGGTCGCAATGACCAGATAGGCGGGATATAGAATGAATGAATGAATGAATGAATGAATGAATGAATGAATGAATGAATGAATGAATGAATGAATACGTACGTACGTACGTACATACATACATACATACATACATACATACATACATACATACATACATACATACATACATACATACATGGATGGATGGATGGATGGATGGATGGATGGATGGATGGATGGTTCTGAAACCCTTTTTGGGGGGGGGAAAGGGGGTGGGTGGAAATGATGGAAGGATAATTCTGCCAGACGTTCATCGCTTTGGTGAGTTGTCTAGAGTAGGACCAATGACCCACAGGCTGCAAAATTATTTGTGGCTGGCTTTTGCAACTGTTGTAGGCCCTGTTGTATGGTGGGCCTCTTGCCAAACAGAGAAAGCCCTTCTGTGCAATTTTTTCCCCAGTGGGAACTTTGACCTGGGTATTCACCGTCTTTGATAAGCCACTAGTTCTTGCTCTCCAGTTTGGTTGTTGCAAGATAGAGATGATTGCATGCCCTGCACCTATTATTGTGTGCTTTGTGCCCTCCACCACCACCACCACCCGTTCTCTTTTGGAGTGGCTTAACACTCCAGACCTTTACATGTTAGAAGAAAGTAAATTCTGCTGGAAATATAGGTGTCTCATAATTTCTGGAATATAAGAAAAGCCATGTCTTTCCAGTCTAGCTTCATATCCCCTTGGTGGCCCGCTAAATGTCTGTGGGAAACCAACCAACAAGGTAAGTGTGCAACAGCACTCCTTTCCCCCACCCTCAGCAATGGCCTCTGCTCCCTCTAATACTAGAGGTAATAACTATCCCTTGTGACTAGTAGACACAGATAACCTTATCCATACATTCACCCAGTCCCTGCCCCCTCTTTTAAAGCTATCCAAGTGGGTAGCCATCATGACATAATGTGGTAGTGAACTCCACTCAGTTCAGCTTCAGTGTGGATAGTTTCGAGTTCTAGTGTTACGGAAGTAAGAGGAAAACATCTGTTGATCTCCACGTTGTGCATCCTTCTGTCATGCCTCCCCCAGTTCATCTTCTTTTGAAATTAAATTGGCCCCTGTAGTCTAACTTTTCCTCATTGACGTGTTCGTCTAGCCTGCATTGCCAGCCATTTTGGTAGCTTTTTTCTGCATTTTTCTAGCAACCCAATATATTCTTTTGGGTGCTTACTAAGGAATGTTGTTGTTGTTGTTGTTGTGTGCTATCAAGTTGCTTCTGCCAATCCTGCAAAAGAGTGACCTCAAAAAAGGTTGTATCATTAAGAGCTCTGCTCAGGTCTTGCAGACTCAAGTCTATGGCTTCCTTTCTTTAAGTCAACCCACCTCATTGCTGACCCTGTCCTTTTTTGCTTCAGTTTTTCCTAGCGTTACTGTCTTTTACGGAGAGGCTTGACTTTTCACGATGTGCTCAAAGTATAGTAGAAGTGTCTTTAAGACATGGATAGTAGCTCCTTGGTTCTTCATGTTGCTGCCCATTTTGTGAGGAGGCAAGGGCCAGAGAATGCAGGAGCAGAACAGATTTCTTGACAGCTTTGCTTGGAGAGTACAACAGATTAATCCACTGTACTGCTTTGTTTTTCCTAAGGCATCCATGGCATCTTGTTCTACTTACCGAAAGGGTGAAACCTTGCCAGCTGATGAAAGGCTGTTTTGCCTTCCTGGCGGGGAGAAATTTTTGCCTGTTGCAAAATACATTTGCATATATTGCACTCTCCCCTTTTAATTACGGTACAAGGTTTGGAATGCCTGCGAGAAAGCAATTTGAACAATAAGAATGCTGAATTCAGGTGTGGCGTTAATGTGTTGGGTTGATTGTAGAAATGCATGAACTCCCACTCTGGCTTTCTGTTTGAAAGACTAGATGTTTGGGGCCACTTCTGCTGGAACCACCTGTTGACACCCAGTAATTAAATCTTTCAACTGTTATTCCTCATTTGTCTTCTAGCCCTTCTGCTTTGCATATAGGATTACAGCTGGTTAGTTCTGTTTGGAGAAGGACTGGGGAAAACAAAAGAGCTAGGTTATGCTGGAGCGCCAGCAGTTTGCTCCTGATCATATTTGTTGTTAGTCAAATTCAAGGCAAAAGCAGAGGCGGCAAAAGAAAAACCCCTGTGAGTCATTTTTGAGGCAAGTTTCCATTAATATGCCTCCAAAATGCAACAGCTCGGTTTTGTTTTGTTGTGATCAAAGAAATTGCCTATAGCTGTTATTTAGCAGGTCGACAAGGTATCTGGTTCTGAAAAACAGGTCGTATTTTTTTCTTCTCTGTTTGCAATCACAAGATCTTGAAAGAATATAAGGAAGGGATAGATTGAGATTTTGAAAACACCCAATGCAGTCAATATGAGACTCCCACCCCCTTAAAAGAGGTGCTTACCCTGTCCCTTTTTCTTTCTTATGTTGGTGCTTCCAAAAGGGAGCATGGAATTAAAATCTCCCACAAAGGGTAATAGTAGACAGGATTATTAGGATCCAGGTGGCTGTTCACTTAGCCAATTAAGTAAAAGTGGGGAAGAGAAGAGGTATAGCAGTTTGCAAGCCTGGCATAAGCACACTGTTTCCTTGGGCTGCTGATATATGCTGGTGATGTTTGGCATGCACCCTTTTGTGGAAAAGGGTCTGGCGTCTGGCATTTTAATTTCCACAATGTCAGGGAGTGATCATCCATTCGGGTCACTCTGGGAAATCTAAATGGCGATTTGGGAACCCAGCCATACAGGTCTGGCTTTCCTAAGCTGAAATTGAGAGCCTGGTAGTTTCTGTATTTATTGCATGCTTCAGAGAACTGCAGTCCAGTGAGAATGAATTTCTTTTTCCTTTATCCTCCCTTTAACTCAGCCCCAACAGGAGAAGGACTGGATAGGGTGCTTTCTGGCATTTAAAGGAGGGTGGCTTGTTTTAGCCTATTAAATATGCAGAGCTTCAGTCTTTGAGATTTCTAAGTAACATAGGGAACCACATGTTGAAATGGTGCAGCTTTGCGGATAGACTTTTGATCCCTGATTTTAAAAACAAAAACCCTTTCCATGGATACTAAGCGTCTGCCCTAGAGTTAATAGATCCCCTGCAGTTTAGGATCTGAAATGTTTGGGTGGTGGCATAATGGGGGTAGAGCTAGGCTAGAGGTGCTTAGATGAGACAGACATCATCACTTGAATAGGCAAAGGAGGGGCTCAGCTGTGCCTGAGGTTGCAGGGAGAAACCTGATGATGAAGGAAAGCAAAACAAAGCCATCAAGCCAGGAAAAGCAGCACACACTTCTGTCCTCTCAGCCTGATAGTCCACTTGTTCTTCTGGAGCCCTTGAGAATCAACGTTTATTTATTTTGGTCTTGGAGGCACATGGCGTCACATGAGCCTTCCTCCTCTGTTGTTTATAGTGTCATAGGCCAAACCCACCATCCTGTTTCTTCAGTGGGAACTAGGCCACGACTAAATTGCTGAGGAAAATGTGGTCACATGATATACATTCTTGGTCTTCTCAAGTTCAGACTGTAGCCAGCCACTCAAGTGGCTGCTTTAACTCTCTTTTCTTTGAGTCCTTCTAACATACAGGAGCTGTAAAAGTATCGGGCACACACTAGCTTAGATGCTGCACTTTTAAGGCTGTGAGATAATTATGTGCATCTTTAAATCTTCGTTGTTGGTACTCATAGGGTTTTAAAACACTTAATTTTAATGTATATTGTAACCACTGATGCTTTCTTACAATATATTATATCATCTGTGAACCATCTTTCTGGTATCGAGTGGGTCGGACTGTACCTGTTTATCATCTCCTCACTGCCATATCATAGTTGTAGATGGTTCCACAGGGAAGTAATGTATATTTTATCATTCAGTGAGGTCTTTGAGTAGCAAACTTAAAGAATCAGGCTGAAGTGTCAGCCTTGGGTAGTTTGTTGGCCCTATGACAGTTTATTGAACCTTTAGCAAATGTTTGCTTTTTCCAAAAAAATGTTGTATGTAGTGGAGCAACTGATATATAAACATTGATAATTACTGGGGTTTTTTAAACCTCTTCTAACAAGTTTCTGTGTTTATTTTTAGGGTGGATGATGTTCCTCCTGGAATATCACTGCTTCCTGATAACATTCTTCAGGTCTTGCGGCTTCAACTGCTCCATTGTGTCCAGAAATTGTCAGAAGGGTTAGAAGAACCACAACAGGCCCTGTCACTTCTCCTCGTCAAATTTTTCATTATCCTTTGCAGGTATTTTATTTTAATTGGTTGCCTTTTCAGAGGCAGGCTGGGAATCTTGAAGACTGCGTGGGAGAGCTACCAACACATTTCCCCTCCTTCAAATAAACTAACTTCTGCTTTTCCAATTCCTGATTCTCTTACTTAATCCCCATATCCACACTGCCTGCATCCTCACTTTATAACTACTACTTCACTTTCCCCTCATCACATCCTCTCTGTTCTCATAGTGACAGTGTAAGGTCGATCTGGAGTATCAGAGCTGGCTCTGCCTCGACTTATGAACGGGCAGGCCATCTGATGTGAAATACGTGACTGTTTTGTACTTCTGACCTTAATCAGATCAAATTCCTTTCCAGATGTCTCACTTAGGATGTTAAGTTGATCCTTTCAAAGTTTTAAAATGTAAACAAGTGTTGCTTTTGTGAACAATTTTGAAGCTGGGTGGTGGTAAAAGGCAGGATATGGTTCATGTTATATAATATAGTTTTCTATTTCATTGTGGCTTGTGCATGTTTCTGATTTAAAGGTACACAGCTGCTTAATGGAATCATGTTGCAAAGGTGTAACTTGATGTTATACCTGTGGTCGCTACAATGGTGCCAAGGCAGAAGGGCTATCCATGAAGCACTTCTGCCAGGCCATTGCACAATTAGTCAGGACAGTAACTGCACAACCAGTGCTGCAATCAAGTAGCTTAATCTTCTTTGCCTGGGCATAGCACCCAGCAAAGGTATTCCTGCATAACTTTACTTTATATCACAACAAAATGGATTCTGGCAGTTGTGAGATTATTAAATGTTTTAACTGTGGGCAAGATGTGTTTGAAAATCTCTGTACACATTCCCTCATAACATTTTTTTTCTGGTGAATCTTAATTCATACCGGCTGCTGGCAACTGTCTCATGTCTTGTAATTTTATTTGTCTTGCAGAAATTTGGCTAATGTGGAAGAGATTGGAACATGCTCCTATATTAATCACGTCATTACAATGACTACACTTTATATTCAGCAGGCAAGTACCTCTGTACCAGAGGTCTCTTAAAAACACCGTCTTGATGAGTGTATGAGACACAGCTGGTTTCTTGTATTTTCCTGAGTGGAAAAATATGTTCCCCTCATTTCTGATCACTTCCTATCTCCACTATTACTTTTAGGAAGTGTGTAAAGTCACATATTTTCAGTCTGGTCTTTCAAATTGTTTTGCTGTTTCCTGATATTGGGGGCCATTTAATTCTTACATTGTTCATTTGTAGTCTTTGTTAGCTGTCTTAATTAGACATGGGTATTTGTATTCGTATCCCTGGGGATACGAATACAAATAGCGGCAACACTGATGCCACAGAGGCCCATTCCCTCTCCCTAAAACTGGCTGATCCACTTATCAGTTGCTGCCCAGAGCTGGGATCCTTTGTTGTTGTGCTAATTGCAGAAGGGGCTCGGCTGACTCTTCCCCACCTCCCCATTCAACTGACCACTCAGTTGAGCATGGAGGGTCCCCATCCTGCCTCCTCGACGGAGTGGTTGGCTGCACAGGGAGGCAGGGAAGACTCCTTCCGCAGTTGGCACAACAATGACAATGAAGGACCCCAGTTCTGCACAGTAAGTAGACCAGCTGGTTCTGAAGGGAGGGAATGGGCCTCTGTGGCACCTGTAGTGTTACTATTTGCATTTGTATCACTGGGTATATGAATACAAATAACCCATGTCTAGTACTCCTTTACTAGAGAGTCAGGAAAAATGTAGTAAGTAAATGATAAGTAGGTCAGTATGATTATTCCCATGTTATTATTGGGAATTTGGAATGTAGACATTGCTTTCCCTTAGACTTCTGGTCTGCTGTCATGACATAGCAGAGCTCTGTACCTGAAACTTTTGGTTTACAATTTCTCAGTATCTTCATGCCCAAATCCATCACATAAATTTTTACCTGAAATTCAGTGCTAACTGATCTACAGATATAAACAAGCTGGAATGAATGAATGAATGAATGAATGAATGAATAAACAAACAAACAAACAAACAAATGGAAGCAGTAATTCATTTGGGGAGTTAACTCTTTTTGCTAGCCTCTGGTTAAATATTTCAAATTGCCTTTGCAAAAGGAAATTCATGAACTGCTTTTTAAACTCTCCTTAGCCATTTCTGAACTTTACAAAGGTTTTGTTGTAGAAACTCTGGGGAAAAAAATAAACAAGGGAAGATACACTATGTTTGCCCCAGAAGCATAGTCTGTTACAGAGAAGTCTGCACTAAATTTCAGACAATTTTTTGGAATTAGGCCCATTCCAAGTCAGTTCATAAGTCCAATACTGTCTGTTGCTGAAAGAAAGACCGAGTGATAGGCACAGAGGTAGCTCATGCATGTGACAATTCTTTGGTCACTCAATTTGTATACTTCACTTAGTTAAGGAAAAAGCTTGGCCTTGTATTTTTTTAGGGAGCTCAAGAGAAATCTAATGAAACCTGGGCTTCAACTATACATTTCAGGCAGGGTTTAAAGCAGGATGAAGGAATATTCAGGTTGCGGGCCTAATCCGTGGGGGACCTGCATCCAGATCATGGAAGATTCTGGATGATTTCCTCTCCTTTCCAGGGCTGCATTTTGCATTGTGAATTTTGTGTGGTTGGAAGCATTCTGCCTAACGATCATGTTTTCTCTCTCTTTAGTTAAAGAGTAAAACAAAAGAGAAAGAAGTGGCAGATCAAACATCTATAGAAGAGTTTGTGAGACATGCACTGGCCTTTTGTGAGAGTCTCTATGATCCATATCGAAACTGGAGACAAAGAATTGCTGGGTAGGGGGGAATTTCTTGCTAATCTTTTACTGTTATTGAGTCCAGTTTCTTCAAAATACAGTTTTGAAGACCAGTGTTTGTTAACGCAGATGGTCTCTCACGAGGTACGGGTGTCATGATTTCAGCCTCAATTGAACCATCCCCACACCTCTCATCTTCCCCTCCCCCTGCTTTTGTCTCTCACCTAGTGAAGACACCTGAGGGTCTCGAAAGCTTGCTGACAATTTTGTAAATGTTTAGTTGGTCATAGTAAAGTGAACAAGCTTTATTGCTTAAAGCCATAGGTCATCAGAGTTCACCAGCAACAGTATGAAACAGATATGGCACTGATACAGCATATTTACACTTAAATATAATCATGGCTATATGGAAGTATGAAGTAACACCATCTCCCTCCTTCCTGAAGAATTCTGATTCTTGTACGCGTCTGTTTTGCTGCCGAAGCGAACTTTGCTATTTGATAGGTCGTAGTTGCATCCCTGCTGACAAGCAGCTTGCATAGCTGAGCCAAGGGGTGGGGTTGGGGCCCTACCACACAAAGACCTAAGAATACCAGCAAGAAATTGACTTCAGAGGTAGTTGTAAATAGGGCAACTGAATGAAGGCTTGGAGTACCGTCTTGGAACACCCTGGGAAGTTGTGGGAGGCGGCGTGTAGTGTTGTGGGAGAAAAGAACAATGGACAAAATGTTCTTGTATAAAATGACACTTTTTCCTAAAATAATTAGAGGAAAATTTGAGGGTTGTTTTATACACAGAAGGAGGCAGTCGCACGCGCACTTGGGCACCTCTTGCTGCCGCCGCCTCACGGCTTGTCCCCTCTGGTGGCTGAGGCAGCAGCAGGAGATGGAGGCGAAGGAGCATTCACACACACTCTGGCGCCTCTTGCTGCTGCCTCCCCTGCCTGTCTGATCACCACCTCCACCGGGACTGACGGCTCAGCTCACATCGCCACCTTGTCCCCTCCAGTGGTGGAGGCAGACAAGCACTTGTACCTGCTTGGGTGCCTCTTCCTGCCGCCGCCACCTGATCACCTCCTCCAGCTATTGCCTCCTTAGGACAGGGGACAAGGCCCCGACCTGAGCTGGAGGTGAGCCCTGGCCATCACACTGGAGGAGGTAATTGGAGGAGGCAGCGGCAGCAGCAGAAGACGGAGGTGGAGGAGCAGTTGCCCATTAACTGCTCCTCCGCCTCCATCAAGGGTCAAAATTAGGGGGTTGTTTCATACATTGGGGGGTCGTATACACGGAAAAATATGGTACCTCTGTTCGTCTTCTGTTTACATGAGCCACCACTAGGTTGAAGAGCCTTCTATGAGTAGAAGAACAGTACTAGATTTTGAGAAGGGTTGTGGATGGGTGGGAAAACTCATTTAGATTTTATTGCCATAATTTTCCTACTGCTGTGAGAATCATATTGGACTTATGACTGAGTGCATAGTTGTCTTAAGATCCTGGCTTGTTCTCAAGCTGCATTCATGGGCGGAAGCTTGTTATATGTCAGCTTATTAAGCAAACACATGATTGCCTGAACATGGACACTGTATATATATGTGCGTACTGTACATATTGTATACATGTAGAGATTTTAATGTTTATGTTTACAAATTCCACCTTGCTTAAATTGACAACATGTTTGCAGTTAAAACCACATTTTAAAAAAGTTGATTCCTCCCCTTTCCTATTCAGAAGTGTGCCAACAAAGATGCCTGAGACAATATCTTGGTGGCATTTAAAAACATATTGTCAAAGTTAAATGAAATAAATATGTCACTAAATATGAATGAACCCGTGTTACAGGAAATAAGTATGATATTTTTATGTTTTTCTTTTGTAAAAAAAAATATATTTCTAGGCGAATTCTGAGCACTGTTGAGAAGAGCAGACAAAAGTACAAGCCAGCTTTACTCACAGTGGAGTTTGTCCCCTTCTTTTACCGTGAGTAACATTGTGTTTTAGTCCTCTAATATTATTAGCAAAAGCAACAATGTGAGACTGATGAGTTTTGTTTGGCTTAAGCTTTTGTGGGCTGTAGCCCACTTCTTCACATGGTACATCTAGGAAATGTTATGCCAAAAAAGCGCTGTTTGTTGGTTTTGCTGCAACAGACTAATGGTTTTCTCCTTGATAATACTAGAAGCACCGACTTGAAAGTAAAAGCCTTTAAAGGAATTATAATCTTGTTCCACTTCCAGTATCAAGGTGCTAAGCACTGAAGAGTTGCTGAAGGTCGTTTAAAAACATTGAGCCGCCACTGCTGTTAAAGACTTGCCAGCATCTCAGTACATTTTATCTCAAAACTGACTTTCATTCGGCGGTTGATTCCCCACCATCAGCACCATTTAATAATATAACAACATTTATTGTATTTTTCTGTGTATAAGACACAGACCCCACTTTTCTAATCCAAAATTAAGAAATCTAAGTGGGGATTAGCAAGTGTAGGGGGAAAAGTATCAAAGCACTGCAGGACGGCTTCGATCCATGCTTTCCCCTCCACTTGTTTTTGTTCTCCTCAGCTTACTTCTGTGTATAAGACGACCCTCAATTTTTAGTCTAAAGATTTTAGACAAAAGTATAGTCTTATACACTGAAAAATACGGTATATGGAGAGTTAAATAGCTGAGTTGGGCTGAAACTGTTTCTAGTTCAAAGTACTTGAAGTTTTATAAGTGAAATGGAAACAGTCGTTGTCTGTCCACATAATTCACAGTGTGGGAATGCTATGAGGATAAAGTGGGAAATCCCCTGAATGCACCCCTGAACTGGGAGAAAAGGTGGAACATAAATGTAATCTATTAAACCTATGTACGCTGGGGAAATGTGATTGGGACTTGCTGTGGCTCTTGGCCTAATAGGGCCTGGTGTTTCATTGGATTCTAATGTAGATTCCTCTCAGCTATTTATTTTTTATGCCTACTTATGCCAGAGAGTTAAACACCTGAATACAGTTTTTGTTTCAGTGGTCCACTTGTTTTCAGACCTGGGCTTTGCTTGAAATATAGTGGTTTTATTTTAACAGAGCTGGCTTGTGTTGGGAGCTTCGGAGTTTCTCATGTGCTTAATTCCAAACAAAATAATCCTTTTTTGGGTTTTGGCAGCAGCTGCTTTGTCTGTGTAAGGCTATTGCTATGGCAGCAGCTTCCAGGTTAATGTTTATTGCGGAGAGAAATTCCTTAGGCCACTTGTCATGGTCTTATGTCAGGTATGGCATGAGCAAAAATACAGTATTATGGTTTTTCAGGAGAAAGTTTCAGGCCAGATGGCGAAGGAGCCAATAGGAGCTTACGTTTCACAGAAATAGCCTTGGGCTCTGTGGACATGTTAAAAACTGTGATTTAGTGATCGAAAGGGAAATCTTGGCAAGCCTTGGGTTACTTCTGTCTTACAGCATGGCTTCAAGGAGTAGTCTGGTATCTTAACTTCTGTTTTAGGCAACCTGTGACATTAGAACCCAGACAAGCAGTCTGGTTAGTCTTAAGTCTGGTATCTAGAAGCAGTAATAAAGCTGCCTTGTTTCCACTAATCACAGTTAAACATTATACTGCGCCACCGTATTTCTATGGATTTCTGGGAGCTGCAGTCCAAGAACACCTGGGTTCCCAAGGTTAGGAACCACAGTGGGCAGACTATTGATTTCCGTGTTATTTCATCCATAGAATTAGACAATGGGGCCTTTTAAAGTAACCTTCTTATTTCAATTATTTTTCACAGTTTCTGCAGTCCTGCCTCTCAGTTCTGCCAACATTCTGAAAACTGAGGCATCACCTATTTGTGCCTTCTTTCCAGAGAGACAATGCATAATGGCAGTTATGGGATGGAAATTGGGATTTTTCTAGTCCCTACCATTGCCTTGAGGCTGTATTTTGGTTGTGGGGGAAAACCTGAAGCAGCACACAACTTCAGTGTGCAGTGGGGGCATGCTCTTCAGTGTTTTTGGATTGTTAGCCTCAGAATTCCAGGAGCTACAGCCCACGTACATGAATCTGCATAAGTCTAGATTTTAGAGTCAACCCTCGACTTACAAACGGCCCTAGTTATGAACATTTCAACTTACGAACCGCTCCATTGGAAAAAATTGCCATCGACCTACGAATGAGGCTCCGTTCGCAAGTCGATGCCAACGGAGCGACTGGCACCTTCAGAGCTCTCAAAGGGCTTCCTCCGATGTCGGGGGAAAGCTGTTTGAGACCTCCGAAGCCAAAAAGGCAGGGAGAAAGGGCGGGAAATTGGAATTTATGTACAGTATCTGTGTTTTGTGTGTGTGTGTCTTTTCACAGTCCCAGCTTGGGACTTGCTCTTTTTATTTTTATTTTGGTATTTATTTATTTTTTGAAGTGCTGGAATGGATTAATTATATTCGCATGCATTAATTCCATTCCCATGCATTTCAATGGGAAATGTTACTTCGACTTACGAAATTTTTGATGTACGAATGACCTTCTGGAACAGATTAAGTTCGTAAGTCAAGGGTTGACTGTACTTCCTATAAAAGGGTTGCGTCCATCTGATGCTGCTGTGCTCCCACCATCAACTTCCTTTGGCATGATGCTTCCTGGGAGTCATAGTTCTTCAAGAGGTGCCTAATAGTGTCTAATGAACACTAAGATTAAAATTGCTTTGTGTCCTTCACACCCAGAGAGTCTAGCCCCTGGTGATCAATCAGCTACCCTTGCTGTCATGAGAGAGAGAAAAACCCCTTACATCACAAAGTGACGGCTGAAATGGAATCTCCCATGCAAAGCAGTGATGTTCTGGTGACAGAACAACCCCCCTCAAAATGTAGACACATGGATGCATAGTTTTTGTACCTTAACATCCAGTTACCTGCCTTGGATTAAGCTATTTAAACAAAACGAGACTTCTGTCTCCGAAATGCAGATGAATTGGATTACACTCATAAAGATTGTGTATTGGTGGATATGACTGCCCTGTGACTCTGCTCTTTATAGATGATTACACTGTCAGAGTTTTTGTTTTACTTCAGGCCTTCTGAGACATTAGTGATGTGCTGTGTCGAGTGAGGAGTAGCTAGCAGCGTTATACTGTAATGTTTACTTGGGATGGAAGTTAAGGGACAAAAAGGGTGCATTAATGTTGCTATGCTTGGAATGAAGGCAGGACTGATTTAGCACAGGGGTGGCCAATGTGTAGCCTTCCAGATATTACTGCACTGCAGCTCCTGTCACCTGTAGCCCATATTAGTGGCACCTGGCACCTGGAGGAGCACAAGTTGCCCACTCCCATTGAGCATTGCATGTGAAGTTTTTCTGGAAATGTGGTGCAGATTTCTCTGTTCAACAAATGTATTTTAACTCAGTTTTCTCCAAATGGCCTTATTCTGATGTTAATGTATGGTAGAGTATAGTTTGTGGTGGTTCTGGAACTTCTGGAATGCAATGTTTTCTGGAAATATGCTTTGTCGCTTGGCAGAGTATCAGTATATTTGTTGGAGCAAATCAGCTCCCTAAAATGGAGGAAGCATCCCTTTTGCAGCTGTGCCATTGTCAGGCTTACTGCCTTACAACTAGTGATGGACACTTACTATGGTTCGGCATGGTTTGGAGGATTGGGCCCACCGGTGTTGTGCATGCACCCCGGATTCCACACCCCGCTTCCTCTCGCAGTTGACCAATCAGTGGAGGGGGGGCTGGGAAGCTCACTGTGCTGCTTATGATGGGGCACTCGCAGGAGGAGACAGGGTGTGGAATCCGGGGCACCTGCACAATACTTGCGGACCTGATCCACTGACCAGCGGTAAGTGCCCATCTCTGCTTACAATGTCTCTTCACCCTCTGTGCTTCGTCACTTAATCAGTCAGCATACCCCACTTTCTGTAAAAAGGATTCCCCTCTGCATGTAGACTGAAGTGGGCTTCCTCACGAAATCCTAGTCTACTTTTACTTTTCAGGAAGATGTCATTTCTCGTTCTTCCACCATAGTCTTTTCAAGACACAGTTCAGCATTTCTGTGACACATGATTTAGAAGTTGCTGGTATAGCTAAAGTTTTGAACTGATGACAGGTTATAGGTCTTGAAACTAGTGAATGAAGGAATAATAGATTCATTATTCGTTACTATGTGTATAAGTGTATTCATTCATTTACTTCATTCCTGTTTTATTTGGTAAGAAAACAAAGAATGTTTTCCTTGTTCCTGTCCCACTAGAGGTTGGATGTCATTGTCATGGTTGTTTTGACTTTGGGTATGTCAGCTCTGTTGTGTTGCATCCAAACCCAAGTTCTGTAACCACACAGTTGTTTTTCCCATTTATTTTATTTTGAGCGATCTAACAAAACTATGCTTTTTGTTTTTTGTTGCATGCCAGAAATACTCTAGCTTTCTAGATGTTGTATGGTTTTTTTTCTTGGTCTTTGTTGCTCTATTCAGTACAGTAGGACACACAAACTCCCCCAATCCATGGGATCAGCATCTGCTGATTCACTTATCCACAGGCTGAAAATACTAAATAAAAAAAAAAATCCCAGAAATACCTATTTGTATGTATTTCCAGGGCATGTTTACCAGAACTGGCCACTAGAGGCAGCCAGAGACCATG